GTGTGACCTGCAAAAAGCTCGCCGGGGTCATAAATAATGAGACAGCATCCAGGGCAGGCACCGAACAAAGCCACAGGGAAGGGAGGCAGCTCCCCAGCTCACAACTCCTCCGTGCTCCCATGGTCCTTCCACCAGGATGGATAGGGCACCTGACACGTGCTGGGCGCTGTCCAGGGTGCTGGGGCCGGAGACGTGCCTTGGAAGATAAGCAAGTTTGGTGCAGCCAGGAAAGCACGCTGGGTAGTCAGAGCCCCAACTTGGGTGTGTACAGTCCCTCTCTTGAAGCCACCCAGGCTGGGTCTGTCACCAGCTGGGGCCTGGGACAAGTCATCTGACCTCTTGGCAGTCAGTATTGCTGCTGCCCTGCCCAGCTGCCCTGGGCAGGGAGTGCCTGATCTGGCTGGGTTGCTGTGCACGGCCAGTAAAGGCTCACTCTTGGTCGAGTAGCAGCAGCTAGCTCACCTGGGAGGTCAGCTTGGTTGGCCCTGAGACATAGTAGGGGGCTGGGTGTATGGCTGGCTGGTGGGACAGTGATGGGAGGTACACCCTGGAAGGGTTTGTGGGGGCTGGTCAGGGCTCTCCCTGCACCTCACAGTAGGAGGTCTATGTCCTTATAGCTCAAATCCAATGCTGACAAGCTCATCACTCATGTCTTCATTGCATATGGAATTTCTATAACGTGCCAGGTGTCTATAATGTGCTAGAGTACTATGGTCTGGAGCAGAGGCAGAATCCCAGCCTGGGTGCAGCTTACACATCCGAGCAGAGAAGCCAACGTTAGAAGCATCACAATCACTGGGAGGTCTTGGTGGGAAGGGTGGGGACAGCAGAGTGGGTGAGGGGCAAAGAGCAACAGAGAGAAAGAGACCCGCACGTTGTGGCACCATGGCTGAAGCTGCCAGCTGTGACGCCAGCATCCTACGTGTGAGCTCTGGTTCAAGTCCCTGCTTCTCTGCTTCAGATTCGGCTCCTTTCTCAGGAGCTTGGGAGATGGCAGGTGGTGGATGGCTCAAGTCCTTGCACCCTTGCTAGCCCATGCCGCAAATCAGGATGGATGGAGCTTCTGGCTCCTGGCTTTTTGGCCCAGCCCTAGCTGTCCTGGCCGTGTGAAAAATGAATCAGCAGATTGAAAGCAATCTCTTCTCTGCCCTTCACGTGGAAGAAGCTATTCAAAAGAACAGCAGAGAGTCTGAGAGTCTCAGTATTCTGAATGGGGACCACGGTGAGCCGCGCCCAAGGAGGAGGTGGTTGAGCAAAGATCCGAAGTGGGTGATGGAGCGGCAGGTGCCAAGGCCCTGGGGCAGTAGACTGATTTGTTTAGAGATACCTGCCACAAAGAGAGGAGGAGAGTTTCAGGATGGAAAAGGGATGGCCTTGTGCTGGGCAGTGTCACTGTTGGGCTTAATTCTGGGGCCAGGAGACTCTTGAAAAGACAGTAGGTTCTAGAAGCTGCTGGGGAGAAAGCTTGCAGGCTCTGAAGAGCGTGTCAGGGTCCTGGCCCTTGCCTGGAGCTCAGGGCAAGGACCTCGCCATGCAAGGTGGGGCTGGAGATGCTGAGGGTGCAGCTTGCTGCAGGGGTCCTTGGTAGATGAGTTTGAGACCTAGACCAGATCCCACAGGAAGTAGGGAGGCTGCTGTCCCCAAGAAGGGAGTAGGCAGTGGCAGCAGGCAGCTGGGAGGGAGGGATGGACTCTGCATTGTTTGTCCTAGGGAAAAAAAAAAAAAAAGACTGGCAGGCCGAGGCACTGGGTCTGTGACACGGATATCCCAGATGGTTCCTGGGAACTAATTGGTCTTGGCCTCTGCAGCAAGATTAAGCTCAGAGCACACAGCCTGGGGCTGCCGCAGGGGACAGCAGCTCCCCAGGGCGGGGCCCAGAGGTGCTGGGCTTTGGGCCTCCTCCAGTCACTTCGCTGGAGCTGTGCAGCCCCATGGAGGGGCCGAGAGGCCAGGGCCACAGCCCCGGAAGGAGTCTAAGCATTTTGCAAACATCCCAGGGCTGTGAGAGATAGGGTACAAGGATGGAGAAGGGCTGCTGTGACTGCTAGAAAGAGGAAATGTCTCTCCAGAGGGCGTGACCCAGTGTCACCGGCTTGGGTCACTCACGCTTGAGCCGTGAGCAGATCTTCTGCCGCTGGCACAGCTGGATCCCGAGGCAGCCACCATGGCAGGCTGTTAGGGGTTTAGTTTGCTTTCAGTTTAGCTTTCCTGTGGCTATGCCATCCCACAAAAGGCAAGGAGCTGGCCTCTGACTGCCAGAGGTCACACCCTGCCCAGTGGGGAGGGGGACATCTCTGGCCAGATGCCCTGGAGGACCAGTCCCAGGACTGGCTCTGATTGGCCCAGCTTGAGCCCCTTCCTTGAGGCAATCCTGGTGGACTGGGATGATTCAAGCCAAGGGTGCTCCCTGAAGATGGGGGTGGTGGAGTAGGGAGGGTGTAGTCCCTGGCAGAAAACAGACCTCATCCCCAAACAGGTGCTGAGCTGGCCCAGGGTGCAGGAGGAGGGTGATGGTGCAGGAGGCAGGTGTCAGAGAGGGCAAGGCCACTGGGGGGAAATGGTTGAGTCTGACTGTCCATTTCACAGATGCGGAGAGTGAGGCAAAGGTTTGCCCCATTTCAAAAAAATGGGAAAGCTGCTAGGATGACCAAGCAGGTGTCAGAATGGAGAAGGTCAAGAGAAGGGGGCAGGGAGACTAGGGCTGATGATGCCTCTGAGGATCAAAGGAAAGAAAGAACATTCTAGCCCAGCACGATAGCCTAGTGGCTAAAGAAAGAACATTCTAGGAGGAGCAGCACCGGGCCCAGGGTCCCGGGCTTGGGGGACACTCTGACTTCTCAGTGTGTGGCTTCCCCCAGACTCCATAGCAACCATCCTGTGCTTTGTCCCGGAAGCCAGGTGTATCCCCCCGACTTATCCACAGGGGACCAGGCAGTATTTCCCCCACAAACTCTGCTTGGAAGGACTCTGGCTGTATATACAGCCTCACAGGTGTGCTCCAGTGTCAATTTTACAATGAATGGAGTCGCTCAATTTTTCTGGGTGAGTTTCACTCATTTGCCTTCTCCTGGCTTTCAGATCTCCTTCAAAAAGACACACAAAAAACTCCATTTTTTTTTTTTTAATTTGGGGGGGTGGTGCTTAAAAAAAAAAAGAAAACCTGATGCTGTTCTCTCAAAGGCCCTGTCCAGTCAGCTTATTCCCTTGGATTCTCTGATCTTTAAAATACCAAAGGAAATGCCATCTCTATTGGCAAAAGCTTTGTGGGTGCCTCTCGGAGGAGACAGTAAGCTCCTGGGTTGAAAGTCCTGGTATTTTTAGCTTCGGCGCTGCCGAGTGATGAAGACCCCCCCAATTTTTTGGGTCAAGGTAGGAGGGCAGGGAGAGAGGGGCGGGTAGCTAGGAGGAGAGACACTGTTCCACGCAAGACATGCTCAGGCAGTCTGTGGCATATTTCCTCTCCCTTGCCCTGCCTGTCTGCTGCTTCGGATGGGAGGAGATCCCCGCCCCCCCACCCCCCCCCGCCCTGTGCTATCTAGCCTTGTTCTAGAACTTTCCTTCCTGCCCATAGTCTTGCAGATGAGACCCTCTGCAAGGATCAATGTTCTTTGTTCTGCCTGTGTCCCTTGGCAGAGGAGGATATCTTTCTCTCTCTCTCTCTCGCTTCCCCTCTCTTTCTCTGTAACCGAGTTTCAAATGACTAGATCTTTAAAAAACAAACAAAAGTACTCCATGAAGTGGGTTCTGTATTTATTTCCAAGTGACAGATGAGAACATTGAGATTCAACGAGGCTTCTCCACTTGGACACTGTCCAAACTCAGAGTCTACGTGGGTAGGCTGCCCGAGGCCCATGGTTCTTCCTTCCCTGTCTCACAGTGACCTCTGGAATAATAGTCATTTGCTTCTAAAAATTAGTTAATTAATTATATTTATTTGAAAGAGAGAATCTTTCATTCTCTGGTTCACTCCTCACAGCCGTCAGGACTGGATATATTTCCTGCCACCCCTGGGTCTGTTTCTCCCATATGGCAACTGGAGCAACGCATCTAATTTTTCTTTTTTCAAATGAATTGTATTCATTTGCAAGGCAGAGTTAGAGGGTCTTCCATCCACTTCTGGGCTGGGCCACTGCCAGGAGCCAAGAACTGCAGCCGGGTCTCCCACATAGACTGGAAGTGACTCCCCCAAACAAAGCCATGTAGGAAGAAGATGGCGGATCATGCCTGGCGGGAACGACACAGTCTCCTAGATGCAGTGGCAGGCAATGGTGGCCCAGGTCAGACCATGTGCTGGGGTAAGGCAAAGCCTGTCTTGGAACACACACATTAGTCAGAATGGCCAAAGCCATGGGAGGGCAGGAGACAGCCGGAGCCAGGCGCCTACATGATTAGAATGCCCCGACTCTCCCAGAGCCTTTTTCTTCTCTTCCATTTCAGCGGGGGCCACCCACAGGTGGCTATAGAAAGGTTTTGATTGGCCAATTCTAGGTCAGATGACCATGCTGGATCAGTCAGCTGTGCCCAGAGGGGCAGGGCCACAGCTCCTGGAAAACACTGGTTTCAGGTACCAAGATTAGCGGGCCTCCTCCCCCTCCCAGGCTTGCTGTTGTCCCCCAAGGTTGTCTTTCCACTGCTTAGCGGTGACAGGGCAATTCCAACCTTGCCACTAGGACGGGAGAATGCCACTAGGATAGGATGCCACTAGGATAGGATAGGTCTCGAGTTGAAACTGTTTAAGGAATGAGGAGAACAAGAGCCTATCTTTTAGGCACAGTGAGGATGTTCTCTCCCATTGAGTGGGGCCATGAATGGGTCTCCTGCCACCGTGGGTCACTCAGAGAGCTCCATGCTGCAGGCATCCTTTGTTGATAGGGCTTCCTGATGGCCATGATCTTGGCTGGGGGAGCTGGCATCTGCTCCTCCAGCTGTGTGGGGGAGGGAGGTGGGACGGGTGGGGAAGCCTTGCTGGGTGGACCTCACCTCTCGGTCCTTCCATCCAGGGGTCCTGTGGCTGTCGGTGGTCTCCGAGGTGCTGTACATCCTCCTGCTGGTGGTTGGCTTCAGCCTCATGTGTCTCGAGCTCTTCCACTCCAGCAATGTCATCGATGGGCTCAAGCTCAATGCCTTCGCTGCCGTCTTCACGGTGCTGTCAGGTAAGGCCTGGGGACAGGATGGGACCCGGTCAACAGCCCGAGAGCAGGTGCGTAGAGGAAAGGGGAGGGCTGGACCCAGGAGCCTCTCTTGGGTAGGAGGTGTTAGGGCACATGCTGGCTGTATCCACTGGGAGAATTTGGAAAAATTGCTTCTCTCCTCTGAACCCCAAATCTTACCCTTGGTGACATGTGACTTCTCACGCAATCAGTCACATATTTCAGGATGTGTGCAGTGAGAGCTGCCCTGTGCCAGGTGCTATGCCCAATGATGGTGTTATGGTGGTGAACACAGGTGAATGGTGATGGAGCTGAGCATGCCAAAGAGAGAGACATGTCACTAGAGGCATGTCTAGGGCTTGGTGCCAGATGGCGCTTGTTGGAAAGGAAGTTGATGGTGCAGAGTGGACAATCATGGTGGCCCTCCAAGAGGCAGCCAAGAGGAACTGGGATGGAAGATGCCATCACCCCCTCTTCTGGAGCTTGCTCTGCCTCCCAGCACCACCTCCAAGTGGAAACCTGAGCAGAAAGGAGAACTAAGAGGCTTACCTGGGTTCGGGCTTGAGTAAGACTGGGAGGAGGGGGAAGCTGGTCAAGAGGTTGCTATGGTGACTGGGGTTTGGGTGGGGGAGATTGTGAGCCTCCCCCATTCTGAGAGTAGCAGTCAGGATGGGAAGATGCAACAGATGGAGGTGGGGAGACTTGCCATGAGTTAGGGAAGGTGGGAGGTTGGGAATGCTGAAGTCCAAGGTCAAGAGCTGGAAGTGCTAGGAATTGTCTTGATCCTGCACGGGAGGAAGCATGCAGCACTGGGCGTTCCCTGGGGACAGGATCGGGCCGAGACTCCTGGCCCTTGTTCATGAAGCAGCCACTCACGCACAGCTGGTGGGTTTGAGTGTGTTTCTGGGATTCAGTATCATGGCTCTCTATAATCCTGAAGACTTACTGAGCTCCTCTGATCCCCAAATCTGAACTCTGAAAGTCCCCCCAAATCCTACATGGTGTGAAGTCACAGGTGGAAAACGCCACACCCAACCTCTTGAAGGGCCGGGCAGGTAGCAGTTCAAACGCAGGTGCACTAAAAGCACAAACGCTGTGTGGAATCACCTTTAGATTGTCCAGGTAGAGTTCTCTGTTGGCGTAGATGATCTGGCTGTCTCGTCTTTCATGTGCATCTGGGTCAGCAACGGAGGTGCCCAGTCCTGCAACCTATGCTCCAGGATCAGGCCACACAGCTACGTGATTTTCCCTGAGGTCGGGGATTGAGAAGGGCAGGTTGAATAGCACCCCAGGCCAACCTCCATGATGAGCACCCAGGTCTGTGGGCACACTGAAGTAGACAAGACAGCCGACAGGCCTTTGAAAGAGTTCTGCGCCTCCGATGTAATGAAGCTGGCAACCTCTCAGAACAATCAAGCCCACTCAAGGAACACCCTTGGAACACTCGTCCCCGTGCCGGGGCTTTGAATGCCCACCCCATCCCCCAGGCCCTGATGTAATGTGATGGCAAGGAGCTGTGTACTTTCTCCCCATCCCTCCCCGCACCATCCTAATCGGAACTGGAGGGCCACAAGGGTCTGTAATCCCCTCACCTCTGTAATAAATATTTAAAAGAAAGAAGTCACCTTCAGGCTGTGGGTATAAGGTGCCTGTGAAATGCCAATCAATTTCATACCTATGCTTGGATCCCAGTCTCAAGATAGCTGACTTATGTATATGTAAATATTCCCCCCAAACCACAGCCTGAAACCTGAAAGCCATTTTGGATATGTGTCCCTCACCCTATCCTGAGAAGGTGCCTGTAAACCCACCAGACCAGAAGGCCTCTAATGTGGGGGGGGGGTGGGAAATTTAGCCCACCTGAGACCACTCCTCACCCAAGGATGCTCTCAGAAACATGAAGGCAGCGGAAGGCGAGGCGTTGATTGATACCTGGCCTCAAGAGTGCCGAGCTGCAGGTGGATGCAGGCTCTACCCTCAGCCAGTTCCCTTTGTGCACCTGCTTCCTGCGGTCACAAAGTGAAGGCTGCTTTGCGGCTCCCCTTCTGCTTTCGCAAGCAGACTCAGACGGGTTAGGAGGGTCAGAAGCTTTTCCCTCTCCCTGCTGGGAAGACCCATTGCTAAAGAAAATAAGATTGTCTCCATAATTGCAGGCAGATAAACACTCCTGGGCTCCCGAGGTTAATGGACTTGCCTGAGGTTGTACACAGTCAGGGATGGTGAAGCCGAGATGAAAGCTGCCTCCAGCCAGCTTCAGAGGCCTGGACTCTTCCACAGAATCAGGCCGTGGAAGCGTGTGACCAGGGTGGGAGCTTGGAGGCTTAAGGGTCTGGCTAACGGTGAATGAGAAGTACAGAGCAGCCAGATGATGTCAGGAAACTCGAGGGGTGAGTGGCGGCGAGGAGAGAGGTTTCTGAATTTGGGAGAGGATGAACATGAGAGGGATGTGAGAGCTGCTGCTGCTGCCAGAGCCAGCTTTGGGAGGAAGGAGGGGCTGCTGGACGTGGGGAGTCCCTTAGAACGGGACAGGGGATGGGGATGGGTGGGTAATGTAGGTGGCTGAGTCACTGCAGGCAGTATAGATCGGGGTCTGCCACCTGCTGGATCAGCCATGGCCAGCGTCTTCTGGAGGCCAGTAGAAAGCGGAGTTTGGGGATTAGGGAGTGGGTGCAGTGTCAGGGTTATCAAAGGGTTATCAGCTTTAGCTTCCTGCCAGTGCACACCCTCGGGTGACCCAAGTAGTTGGGCCCCTTGCCATCCGCGTGGAAAGCCGGGACAGAGTTCCTGCCTCTTCGCTTTAGTCTTGTCTAACCTTGGCCTTTGTAGACATTTGAAGGGTGAAGCAGCAGATGGAAGATCTTTCTCTTATTCTGTCTTTCAAATAAACAAAATTTAAAAAGAAAAGAGGGCTGGTCCCTGAGGCTGTGATCACCGCACCCCCTCAGTTTATTCAAGAACAGTCAATAATAGCTGTAAGCATGGCCACCGGAAGTGACAGGTGCCGCGCCCTGCCCTGAGCTCTCCGGCATGGCATCGTCACTAGAGCCAGAGACTTCCCGGCTGTTTGGCTACGGGCAGAGCAGTGTTCTCTCCTGTACAGTGGACATAAGGGAGGTCCCATGTGCCTAAGCATACGGAGGTATCAACATATAGAAGGTATCAACATATAGAACAGGCCTACCCTGTGCTGACACGAGGGAGCACCTGTCTCCAAAAGCTTTGCTCAGATGCCTTGGAGACGGGCAAGCAGGAGGACATCCCTTGAGAGGGACCCTGCCACGGGGGCTTGCAGCAGTGGGGAGATCGGGTGGGTTTGGCCCTGAAAGCAGATCATGGTGCAGTTTGCAAGTTTTCCACTTTCTGATGGTGCGGGAGCAGCATGCATTCCACAGTGGCTGTCCTTGGAGGCCACACCTCCATCTTCTCCCATGCAGGTGACACAGGGGTATGGCAGGGGCAGCAGGAACCCCCTGCCCTCCCTGCACAGTGGAGCGCTGTGTGGCCGAGCAGGGGCAGTGTGCACGCACTGCGTCTTCAGCTTACAGTGTGTTTGTTAGGAGCTGACCCCCGTCGCAAGGCCAGGAGAACCTGGACACGGGAGCAGAGGTTCAGGTTCAAGAGCCCAAGTTCCGGAGACTCAGGATCAAAGGACAAAGACTCTGTCAAATGCCCGTCAACATTGGCTATTACAATTAAACCTAGGAGTTAATGATAATAATTAACTGAGAATTCTAATCATGATTGTGTTTCTGGCTCTTAAAAAAAAAAAGTATGGACTCAGTGTTACGGCCCATTGGCTGAATCCTCACCTTGCATGCGCCAGGATCGCATATGGGGGCGCTGGTTTGTGTCTTGGCTGCTTCACTTCCCATCCAGCTCCCTGATTGTGGCCTGGGAAAGCAGCAGAGAGCCTTGGGACCCTGTACCCATGTGGGAGAGCTGGAAGAGGCTCCTGGCTTCAGATTGGCTGAGTTCTGACTATTGCAGCCATTTGTGGAGTGAACCAGTAGATGGACGATGTTTCTCTGTTTCTCCTTCTCTCTGTAAATCTACCTTTCCAAGCCTGCTGTTTTGACATCACATTGGGGATTACGTTTCAACAGATGAGCTTGGGGGAACACAGGCACCACAGGGAGCCTAGGAAGCGTGGACCGTGTGGTCCAGCTGTGAGATTTTTTGCAAGAGAAGCCCTACCTCCCATCTTGTTATGGAAATCCTCCAGATTTGCTTTATTGTGGGCCCCAAAAATTTATCCTTTTTTTTTTTTAACAGCTCTACCCAACATCTGCAGGTTGCACGCAGCCCGGGGGCTGCCAGTTTTCGATCGTGGCTGTACATATTTCTATTTTAATGTTTGTCATCATTGATTTTTGGCTTCGCCGTTTATGTCACATCCTTCGTTAGCCCCGAGGGAATAACCATGCCAGATCCACAGCCCCTAATGACCGCTTCAATGCCTTCTGGGTCATGGAGGCTCTGTAAGCCTTAGGTAAATGAATGAGCTATATATTGTAGACAAGGGAGTGCCATGCAGAGGCTGCTAAAGATTCTAGAGGGTTCTAAAAGGTTCTGTAGGCCATCAGGGTTCCCATAGCTAATGAATCTGGCATCACTAACAATATCAGGCTAGCATGGGGTTCTGGGGGGCTGGGTCAAGGTCAGATTTAGAGAGTTTAATAATAAAAATGAGTAATGAAATCCACAGTAATGGAATGCTGGTTTCTAGCAGTTTCAGTGGACTTGACCCATCCAGAAGGCTAGACTCTGGGAGGGGGTGTGGCTAGGAAGTAGCAGGTGTGGAGGGGTGTGGCCTGGGAGGAGGAGATGCTCAGGATGAGGGCCAAGTAGGTGCCCTCTCCCTGGTGGAGCCAGCAGAGGGCAGCACAGGCATAGGATCCAGCCCCTGAGGGGTGAGTTGGATAGGGAGGACCAAGCAGAGAAACTGAGGCTGAAGCCCTGTGAGAAGGGAAAAGCTAGTGCTTCTGGGGTCGCAGAAACACAGGAGGGTCCAGCTCCAGTGTCTGTGAATCGGAGCAAGCCAGGCTCCGAGGAGGTCCTCCCGGGTGTTGCCCTGTCTCAATCACTGTCACATCACTAGAATCTGGCAGGGAGCACGAAGCAGATGGGTCCTCTCCATCAAGTGCGCCCCTGTAGTTCTGCAGCAATACAGTGAGATGCTGTGCTGGGCGGGCATGAAGGGCAGGTGACCCTGCTGTGGATCCCAGCCTTAGTCCTGGACCAACACCTTTGATCAAGTTCTCCATCTTCTTCAGTCCCCATGGCTGTAAAACAGGACTGTAGGACTAAAGCTCTCGCCATGCATGTGGCTGGGATCCCATACGGACGCTGGTTCTAATCCCAGCATCCCTGCTTCCCATCCAGCTCCCTGCTTGTGGTCTGGGAAAGCAGCAGAGGACAGCCCAAAGCCTTGGGACCCTGCACCCGTGTGGGAGACCCAGAAGAAGCTCTTGGCTCCTGGCTTTGGATCAGCTCAGCTGTGGCCATTGCAGTCACTTGGGAAGTGATTCGATGGACAGAAGATCTTCCTCTCTGTCTCTCTAATAAAAAAAAAAAACTAATAAATCTTAAAAAAAAAAAGATGTTAAAATATAAATCATAGGCCCGGCACTGTGTCCTAGAGGCTAAAGTCCTTGCTGTCTGAGCCCATTCATTACTCTAGGGGTCGGTAGACTGCTGGTGGGAGCTTGGTAAACCCCTTTTTGGGAGTTGGAAGGTCTGCATTCCGGACCCCCTATGATTTGGGTCACGGGGCAAAACCAGCAAGAGGGATGTGCATGGCCTGCATGGTCCAGTGAGAGGCTAGGAGAAGGAGGGAGGAGCGGCTGGGAGGCACAAGGGTGAGGGTGGAGGTGGGGGCAGGGACTGCGCAGCCTCTGAGCGGTGCTTCTCCAGCAGGTGCCATTGACCGCTGCCCGCTTGTCCACCCAGAGCAGAACTGGCAATTAACTTCCACGGGAGCTGGAGAGATGGGGGGCGATGTGTAAGGAGGAACTTTCTCAACTCTAAAATATGCCAGGCCTAGAGGCTGCGGATTCTCGAGAGAGGCTAAAAATAGCTGGCGCTTTTAAAAATAGGTCTGGGCCGGCTTTACACACCACCGCAGCGGGCCGCCTGCAGGCGGCGGGAAGGGGCGCGCTGGGCGGTGCGGACCCCGCCCCCTAGGCTGAAGGGCGCCTGGAAGAGTCAGGCCTGAGTCTGGGTCTTCACCAGCACCTGCCTGTTTCAGAGGCGAATGGACAAAGCATGAGTTGGGCCCGCAGCTTCCTGCAGAGGTGGGTCACGATTTGCCAGCCCCTGAATTGCCGAGTGCTCCTCCCGTGCGGGTTTGGATATTAACTTGGGCCATCCTCTGCTGCTTTCCCTGGTGCATTAGCAGGGAGCTGGATGGCAACTGGAGCAATCCGGACACGAACTGGTGTCCTTGTGGGATGCTGGTGTTTCCAAACGGGAGATGAGCCACATGAGCCATGGTGCCAGCCCCTTGGCATCGTCTTTTAACTGTGTTCTGATGTCAGTCTCCGAAGTGTGGCTGCAGAGAGCAAGGAATAGGAATCAGGGCAGTTGCACCTGCTGGGACTGCCAGCCAGCTGGTGCCACACCCATCCCTGCTTTGCTCTGCATACCGGGGTTCTCAGGGGTCCCCCAAGAACAGGTGGAAGCTGCGCTCCCTGACTCACCATGTGGGCTGAGCATTCCGTCGGTGATGTCCGAGTTGGGACAGCCTGGATTGGTGGGTCTTCTGGTGCCAGTCCAAGCCAGGAAGTTAACAGCAGCTGCAGGGTAGTCTCCTCCATCAGTCCCCGTCCTGGCACATTTAGGTGCTACCAGAATCTGACTGCTTAGTTCAGAGGAGCAGGAGAGCCAGATGCTGCAGGCACGTGGACCTGACTTCCAGACTCAGAATGCTGAAGCCGATCTTCGAATGCAGCCCAAGGGGCTCGCCAAGGTCTCTTTGAGTGAATTGTATTTTTCATTTATTGCATTTTCTTCCAGCGTGGCCTTTCCTATTTGGGGATAAATGGGTTTCAGCATAGAAATCAATGCTTTTTCTCAACTAAGAAGTTAGAAAATTAATTATCATGCCAACAGTCTGGGGCTGAGGAGGTCTGGGATAAAAATCCTGTTCTGCTCTGCTGCCCCACTCCCCGGGGGTGCTAGTTCTCACCAGTGTCTGCCCGTCGGGGGGTACATGCTCCTGGAGTTTCATGTGTCTACCAATATCCCCACTGCATGGATGAGCAAACCAAGGCCCTGGAAGGTCACTTGGACTGGGATGGGGACAAGGAAGCCAGAGATGCTGTCGCAGCTGGAGGTTTGGTGAGCAAGGTGCAGCCCTGGAAAGATGGCCTGGCAGAGGCTGGGGAAGAGGTTGGGGGCACAGTCCCAGGCGAGCACGGCTTGTGAGTGTAGCAGTAACTCCTCTGTGGGAAACAAGCCCTGGGCAGCGGTGGAGAAGGACCCCCTGTGCTTCTGGCAAAGTCATTCTGATTACTGGGAGAGGAACGGGCAGGTGAGGAGTTAAAAAACAGCTGCTTGTGCACGTGTGCTTGGGACTGGGGTCCTGGCTGCACACTTCTTATCAGATACGCCTGGGATCACACGTGTTCTGGATTTTCTTCCTCCGAAGGCATTGTGGGATACCTTGTCCAAACGTGGGTGATTCATCTACACCTTGGACTTAGAGCCTGGAGGACATTGCATACAGCATCCGCAGTGCACCTGCCGTGGTGATGTGACTTGGCACGCGCAGTCAGGGGTGGGAGTCTCTGCTTCAAGGCTCATGTCAGCACTCAAAATGTTCACATCTGGGGTGGAGTGGGCGTGTCCTGGACTCTGAAGTTTTTGGATGAGGGATGTATGTTCTGTATAAAGGTCGCCTGTGTGGCCGGCAGGTTCTCGCCCTGTTTTCATGCTGCCTCCCCAGCGCATCAGCAGGCAGCCAGATTTGAAGTGGAGGTGGGCCTGAGTCCCAGGTGCTAGGAGATGCGAGTGGGGGTCCCAAGCAGTGGGTTAGCCCACCGCACCGCAGTGTCTGCCCCTGGGTCGTAAGTTGTGAAAAAGCAGATCATGTTCCAACTAGAGGAAATTGTAGGAGCAGAGACTATGGGAACACTCTGCACTTTCCACTCATTTTTCCCCCCCATAAACTAAAACTACTCTTGAATTCGTTTGCTCCTTAAAAGCCCAAAAGAACAGCGGGAAACTATTTGCAATCAGAGCAGCGAGGAGGGATCGTTTCCAAAAACACAAAGAATTCCTACAGATGCAGAAAAAAGGTTAATTTTTTTTTTTTTTTTAACAAGAAGGGAAGAGATTGACGAAGGATACAGACAGGCCGAGTCACAGGAAAAGAAATGAAATGGCAACAAATAGATGAGCATGTGCCCTCACCCACCAGGGAATCAGACAGCTTCAGGTGATGGTGAGGAGTCCCTTTCCTGGCAAAGTGGGCTGAGCTGTGAATGTGGAATGACATCTAGTGCTGAGGGACCTCAGCCACTGTCCTTGTCACCCTCCCCACCTGCATTTCCCCAGCCAAGATCTTCCTCCTCAACCAGCCCTGCAGTGAGAGAGCCTGGAGAAGCATGCATGCGTGGGGGCTGACCCCTGGCCAGGGACACTCCTCGTCTCGGCCTTCTGGCTTCTCATGCTCCATGCAGATGACTCTAACTGCCCCCCACCATCCCCACTGGGGGTCCCTGTTCTCCCCCAGCACTTGCAGACTGGGGAAGGATCCAAGCCTACCCCCCACCCACCCTGCCACCACCGGTTTCTGACGCCCCCGTTCTATCCTGCAGGCCTCCTGGGAATGGTTGCCCACATGATGTACACACAGGTGTTCCAGGTCACCGTGAGCCTCGGCCCCGAGGACTGGAGACCTCATTCGTGGGACTACGGGTGGTCTTTCTGGTGAGTGGGGCCCCAAGGAATGCTGAGACAGCAGTAGCTCTGCTTAGTCGAGGGGGTGGGGTTGGAAGGGAAGGAACAGTCCACAGCCCCAAGGTGCTGTGGGAGTCCAGCACGCAGCCATGCAGACTGCAGACCCTGGGCTAGTGGGAGCCCAGCACTGGACCATATAGACTTGCACCCTGGGCTGAATGCTCCAACACAGCTGCTCAGCAGAGCATGGCTTTTGCAAATTTCAGTGCTTGCTTCTTCTTCTTGCGTCAGAAGAACAGAAATGATGTGAACGAAGAGGTATGAATGTTGAGTGGCCCCACGTGAGCCACATGTGATGTTTGCTGGCTAGGCTGCCCTTCCTGCAATGGCAGTGCCTGGCACCTGCAGTGGGAACCGCATGGTCCCTGGGGTCCACCTACAGACTCACAGGCCTTGGGGCCAATGCCTGCCTTGGAGGCCTGTCCTGAATAGTGGATGTGGGAGTTGGCGGGACTTAGAGTCAGGCTTTCCTGGGATGGGGGAGGGCTGGGGTGGGTGGCTGGGTACAGGGAATGGATCAGCACCTCAGGGCGCAGTGAGCACAGGGAAGGTGGCGCTGGGCCTGCAGGACATGTGACGTGGGTACAGCAGCCAGGGGAGCTCTGGGCTGGCTGTGACAAAAGCCCCCCTCCCACGACTCCCCTACCCTGTACACACACTGCATACATCAGCCTCGGCCCTGGTCGTATCACTGCCAAGTGCAACTGAGGGGATGGACTTAAGGGCCTGTTGGGTCCAGGATGACCCAATTCTCTTCCTCTGTGAGTGTCCGCACGAGGCCTCGTTTGGGTGTGAGCTCTGTGCCTGGGCTGGGGAAGCCCCTCCTGAAGCTATCCCTCCTCAACCTCCCCACGGGTGGGAGTAGGGCTTTTCTTCTTCCTGTCCTGGATGTAAGTCCCAAGACCCACTCCTTTTCTCTCCTCTGAGTCCTCACCAGCCCCGAGGTAAGGTCGGTGGCCTGACCCCACCCCCCCCCACCCCCAGGGTCACTTCCCCCAGGGAGTTGCAAGCTTAAGACAGTGAACGGATAGAATTCAACACCGTGTGAGCTACCACAAAATCTGTTTCAGGCATGGCTGGATCCAGGTTATCAGAGGACTATATCTGGGATTCAGTCATTCTCTTCTTGCTCTGTCCCCCACGTCGTCCCCCCCACCTTTGTTCATTTCTTGAGCAAAGCAGAGTTCTTGGTTAGAAAAATCTTATAATTCCAGCAGGCAGGAGGAGTTTGTTTCCCATACTTGCAAGCCAGCATCCTGGTTGTGACTTTGGCTGGCTTAGCGAAGTCACACAAGGCCAGCCCAGGGGACATGGAGATCCCTTTGGTTGTTGTGGCCTGAATCACGTGGGCAGAGAGGGTGGCTGGCTTCAGGACAGAGAGAGATACGGGGGAGAAGGCCGCAGGGGGATGTGGTTGCTGGTGGTGGAGAAGGCTGCTAGCGAGCAAGAACAGGGTGGGAGGGAGAAAGGGAGAGAGGAGAGCAAGAGGCTGTGCTGGGAAGACGGTAACTAGAATCTCACAGTGCAGGTGCAGGTTGATTCTGGCCCCCGCTCTCTGCTGACATCCCTTGAGGCCAAAGGCTGGACCCCTTTACCCCCAGCACCATCCCTTCCTGCAGGACAACCCCAGAGCAGCCCAGCTCAGGCCTGGACCTCCCTTTCCTTAGCCTTTGCCGTGTGGCAGTTCCTTCCTGTGGGCCCTGACCTTGGAGGTGGCCAGCCTGAGCCTCGGCTCTCCAGGTGATGCGGGCAAAGCCATGTCTCTTGTGCACGGATGGCTCAGGATGAAGCCCAACGGGGAGCCGAGGTGGGGGACCTATGAGGCACTCCATCCACCCACGCAAGGATGCAGGCAGGCCTGGGCTCTCTGAGGTGACAGGTGACAGACCACTCACGGGGTTGCTGAGCATGGTGGGTTGCTACAAGTGTGACGACCTTGCATTGCCTAATGCACCTCTAGCCCCCTCCCTGGGTGCTGGTCCAGCCTGCTGAGTCCCCTCAGCCCTGTCCTGTGCTCTACGCCCAAGGGCCGCCACATCCCTGCTGCACTCACTGAAAGCCAGGCCACCATGCGGTCCCCGTGAGAGTTAGTCCTCAGCCTGTCACTGGGACCCACAAGACGGATGGGTCCCATTTTTCATCCTCGTGTTGGGGGTCTTCCAGAGCTGGCCGTGTCATCTTTCTTGTTGAACGCGTGGGAGGCTGTCAGCATCCCAGCTCCCCCTGCCCCCTCCGTCCCTGAGCCTCTGCCTGCTCCAAGCTCTGTTCAAGTGGCAGCTCTGTCCGCCCTCCCCCTGCCACACCCTCAGCCCTCCCCCAGGGAGGACTCAGTGATGGGGGAAGGAGGAGGTCCTAGAGTTCAAGGGGTTCAGAGAGAAGCTCAGTGGTTAGTGGGCACCTGCTTGTAAAGGGCCATTTTTTAAAAAGATTTAATTTATTGGCAGGTCAGATATACAGAGAGGAGGAGAGACAGAGAGGAAGATCTGTCTGATGATTCACTCCCCAAGTGGCCACAATGGCTGAAGCTGAGCTGATCCGAAGCCAGGAGCCAGGAGTTTCTTCTGGGTCTCCCACACGGGTGCAGGGTCCCAAGGCTTTGGGGTAAAGGGCCATCTTTGCAGGAAGCTGTGGTGGGAGTCCTCAAGGGCAGGGGGAATTGTCTCATGCTCAGATTCACGCCAGCAGTAGAGGGTGTGGCCTCTGGGACCAGACAGCCTGCAGCCCTCCCCTGCTGTGGATCTTGACCATGTCACCCCAACCCCTCTCTCTCTCTGCACCCCATCATTTTCAGCTGTAGAATAGGCAGGCCCCAGCCCCTCCACTGCCCAGGGCTGTCATGCATGCATGCGTGGCAGGTGCTGTGCCAGCATGCATGTCTCTGACGGTGTCAACTGAAGATCAGAACATATGCATCGTGTGGATTGTTGGGGGCTGAGTGGGCTCAGCTGGTGGTCCTTGCTTGGGGTGAGGTGAGGCAGGGGGCACTGGAGTCTGCAGAGGACAGGCCTGGGACTGGGTCAAGGCAAGACCTGGAGTTGGGGGCATCTTAAGGGGGAGGGACTGTGCTGGGGTCAAGTGTAGCAGATGCCTGCATGGCTTGTGCGGGCATAGTGGGTGGCACTGGACCCAGCTGTGTGCCCTGCCACTGTCCCTCTGTTCAGGAGCTGAGAGATCTGTCAGCAGGCCCAGGTAGACTTTGGGGGTTGGGGTGTGGGGGCTGAGTCACAAATGCTCAGGAGCTGCCAACGGCATGAGCCCATGAGCCCATGAGCCCATGGCTTCTGCCACCTGTCATGGTGTTTGCAGCACTTGCTTGGTTGCTGGCATCTCAGCACACGTGTTTCTGTGAGGTTCCTGGTTGGCCTGGCTACCCGGCCACAGGCAGGTACAGGGAACAACAAGCGTTCCTCCAGTTTGCTCCAGGCCTCACCACTCAACTGCCTTGCACCCACCCACACCGTCCTCACCTGGTCACATGTCTGATGCTACAGGAGCCCGAGGTGGTGATCCCTTCTGGGAAATGTCAGTCTGCTAGTTCTCTTGGTGCCAGATCTAGCTCTAATTTGCATTTGGTTCAAATGGAGAGACATGGAGACAGGCCCCTCCTCCAGTACACACACACACACACACACACACACACACACACACACACGTTCACGTGGCCAACTCCAAGGAGTGAGGCATCTCAGTGTTATAGATTCTGTAAGACCGAGGAGGGCCCGGAGAGATTAAGCAAGTTGGCTTGGATTACACAGCAAAACAATAGCAAGTTGGGCTGCTTCTGGGGGTTCCATCTCTGGAACCCAGAGGGTATTGGGGCAGGTGGCCCGGGGGGCTCCTTCCTGCCCTCTTTCACAGCCTCCATGGCCCTGTAACAGCATCAGGCCAGCCTCTTGCCTCCCTGGGGATCCCTGTAGCTGATGGCTCATCATGCCAAAATCTTAGAAGGGGCAGGTCTGTTGTAGTTACAGGGGAAGAGCCCACACCCCCGGCCACCCGGGTGGAGAGTTTTCGCTGTGTCTGTCGGTAGCCCATGCCGAGCAGCCATGTGGTCAGCAGGAGGCTAACTGTGGCTTATCTCCCCTGAGGCACGCGGCTGTGGCCTCATTTCTTGGAATACCAGGGCAGGGAAAGGGGGAGGCACCTGCCCAAGGTAGGGATCAGTCACCTGCCTCGAGCCTGCGGTCACTCTGCTTCCAGCCCATCAACTCCTAGGCCCCTGACAGTGGCTTGCATGGAGGCGGGGGCTGCATGGGGAGGGAGGGGCGCTTGCACCTGACCCTGAATCTGCACACCTCAGGCCTGAAGGCAGCTGTGAGCGGGACCATCCTCAAGGAGCAGCCACCCCTGGTTTCCCACCAAGCAGGGCCTGGAGTCAGCCGCAAGGTGACACTCTGTCATGTCTCCAGGTCTACTTCTCCAGCATCCCTCGGCCCTGGGGCCCTGCAGCCCTCAGAGGACAGAGAGTGGGCCGGGAGCCTCTAATGTCCCTGTGTCCACTCCGCTCTGGGCTACAAAAACCAGGCCAGCCACCCACACAGCTCCCACACAGCAGCAAACACAGCAGTTGCTTCTAGGCTGTTCCCTATGTGGGCACCTCGAGGTGGGAGGCGAAAGGGCCTGTGGGTATAGCCTGGGCTCTTCACCCATGCCGAAACAAGGGCAGGGTTTTCCTGGCTGATTTTCAGCTGACTCTGATGTGACCTCTGTTCATCCACAACCCCACACGTCTTACAGCTCTTCACGGAGCCCTTGTGGTTTGCTGGGCACTGCTCTGGGAGTTGCGAGCCCGACGAGGTTCTGGTGTGCTGGCGGCTGCTGTGCTGTACTGGTGGATGGCAAGAGATGATCGCAACACAGCCGGAGGCTCCCACTTCCAGGAAGACAGAGCAGATTTCTTCTTCCCCGTGATGGCACAGCTGGCCTCCTTGAACACCACCTTGGCTTTTCTGTGCCCCCCGGGCACTCCT